CAACCGCATTTTTGGGTCAGGTCAGGTCACTGACCTATGACGTCATAAGTGAACCTCTGCACGGTCTTCAGATGTCGCAACTTCGCAACGCCCTCACTGCCAGAGGAGATGTCACAAGGAAATGAAACTTGCAGGATCTAGTATCCATTATGAGTCCCACAACTTGTATATCTCAGATTTTTCCTAAAGGTCATATGAGGTCAGGTCATTTTCGTGACCTCACCATTATAAGTCAATGGGGAAAAATGAAAACTGCTATTCTGGCGCCGGTAACGATCTCCAACTATCTCAAGCACACAGAATCGTGATTTGATGCACTCCTTGCAAGGTCAGATGCGTCACTTTTGCAATGTTGACCTTGCGTGACGTCATTTATGACGTCATCAAGGTCATATTAGTTTTTCGTCAATAACTCTTGATCAAATTGAGCTAGCGAGTCGCGAAAGCCACCAATGGACTCAGGAAGGCCTGCCGAATCGAATGATATGCAACATGACCTCTTTCGACCAACTTCATGACCTGGGGGTGCTGACCTGACCTTGACCTGAGGTCAACACCCCAAGTTGACCTGACCCGGACAAAAAGTATATCATTTGACGCGCCTGAGCGAGGCGAACACATTGCTGCCAAAATCGGCGCTCTGCGGCCGTTTTTTGCGAAGTTATTCACCAAAAACTGAACCGTACCTTGGGGCACTTGACCTGACCTCAGAGGTCACCGGTTGACCTAGGACCTTAAAATCGGATACCAATCTCTGCGTCTCGTAACGGCGCACACGCTCTTTTTTCCGCGACGCGCTAGCTCCACCAGGGGCGAAACGGCGAGGGGGGGGGGGTCGTACCCGCCCCCCCCCCCACCCTCGGCCGGCGCGTATGTACAGGGTCTTTCATAATGAATGTTACTTTTGAAAGAGCTATTTCTCAGAACATATATGTTCCTCATGAAATCTGTACCATCACATGAAACAGAAACACATTAGCGTTTTTACACACACAACTTTCATTTTAATGCTCCTCAGGAATTTTCCGCTGTATCGCTCTTAATTAAGGCACAGGTTTCGGCCCTCTGACGAAGGTGTCGCACCCCGCACCTCACAACGTCTGGGTCCAGGCTTCCAGCAAACCTTTCCACTGTGGTTCGCAGTGGATGGCTGCAGGAGGGTTTTGTCTCAGATCTGCCAATGCGACTCCCAAAACCAGTAGTCCAGCGGGGAGATTTCAGGGCTCCGTGGTGGCCATAGTCGCTCGGTGAGGCGGCTGATAACGCGCTCTTCGAAATTCTCGATCAGCCACTGGCGCAACTGCTGCCGTGGTGTGCACTGTGGCGCCATCCTGCTGGAACCACAGGCCGTCTCTTTGAACCTTGTCCCTGACCTGAGGCAGAAGCATTCCTTGAGCAGCCTGAGGTAAGCCACCCCGTTCAGTGTTGACCCAGGGAAGAGCCAATGGATGAAGACTTGTCCGTCGACCGTAATCCGTAATGCGTTTTAGTGGTGTCGACTTACTCTGCTTTTCCGTGAAGGAAAATTGGCGTTGTGAATTTTTTATTTTTGGGACAAAACCCTAATCAATTTGCAACAATACGCATATACAATTCACGCGGAAGTGATAAATTAAGAGCTCCTAACTAAATGTTAAAAAGTAACATTCATTATGAAAGACCCTGTAGAAAACCAATAGGTCCGGCGAGGGTTAAATCGTCGGTGTTCAAAACATATTTTGAAAATATTATTCATATCTACAATACAATGTGTGCTAACCAGTTTTCTCAGTAATTCAGCTAGCAATTCTCGTGCTGTGTTCAAAGAGACGTTTACAGTGAGGGGCAAACTTAAAAAAAAAAAACTATAATGACTTTTACGAAACACAGCGAATCTAATCTGACCAAATCAGGTGCATTCGCCGCATAGCTCGTCGTGAAAACGGCTAATATCTACTAGAGAATGTCAATCGGATAGTGATACCGACTTTTTGGTATACCGATACCAAACCGTATCGGTTTGGTATCGGTATTATATATTTCAATCCTAATATTTTCGGTATTTTGTTGCTATTATGAATCCTCACTTATGTATAAGAGGCTGTGAATTTGGTAAAAAGTTTGTATTTTCCTGGTATTCCGAAGTTGGTTTGGTTTCGGTATTTGTCGATGGTTTTAGTTGCTATTTGGTTTGGTATCGGTATCCTGATTTTCTGTAACTGACATCACTATACCTACCATGCATATCAAGATCTTTAGAACCCTATACTTCATTTATGAAAGAATGTGACCTTCATCGCGAAGCCCTTTCACATTTTTCATTAACAGTGACGTGATCGTTCCAGCGGCCGGAGATTCTACCAGACACGCACCACCGCCAGACAAGGATTTGGTAGTTTCCATTGTTGGTGGAACCATATCAAAACCAAAGAAATGGCATTGGATTGTAAGTTTGCACACACAACAGGGAATAAATCGCTCGTGAACTATATCGGAGGAAGCAAATAACCTTTGACCTCTCAATTGAGTACTCGCTATGACTTTGTTTCCATCTATTCAGAGACGAATCCCAACCCAGCGCAAAACCTCCGGGGGTGGGAATAGAGGTGGGGGGTACAAAAGGCAAGCTCTTGCTCCTGTGTTCTTATTATGAACACGCCTACACACAACTTGCTCTGCTGTTGCCCAGGCTATATTGGCCATTTTGTTTCCATTTAACTGTTTGTTTTACCACAGTAGGTATTCATTAAATGACATCGTTGGTGGTGATATATTTCAGGTGCTTTTGCTGATTCGTCAGAGATTCGTATGGAAAGAGGCCAAGTGTGGAGGCTCCCTTATCAGCCCTCGGCACGTGCTGACCGCAGCCCACTGCGTCGACCGGTTCAAAAAGTAAGCTACTCCTTCAAATGCTACTGAAGAAAATGCATGCATTGTGTGCAATGTATAAGAACGAAAAAGCGAAGACGTCTGTGGGGCATTCGAGAGATCAGGCCCAACAATTATCATATAAAAACTGAAGATAAATAAACTGAAGATGAACTATCCAAAACCTTTACTTTGCTGCATTTTTCATTTTATGCGTCACTGTGACATTAAAGTAAGAGTGCAGTCTGACTCTGACGCCTCACTTTTACGTCAATTATGAAGCTAGAAAATCGTTGCTTTGTAAAAATATAACAATATTTTCAAAAGTATACCTATCGACAAAATGCATACTTTTATATTACTCCGATGAAAAATTGATGCTCAGTCACTAGTGTTGACACTTTTAGACATTTTAAATATAAGTGTTATCTACTTTTTATATAGTGCATGCGGGACCCTCCTTCAGTGTGTCTAACTGCTATTTCATCTAAGCTGTGTGTGTCTGTGTGTGACTATGCAGTGAGGACATGTCGGTGCGACTGGGCGAGTTTGACACAACCACCTTTTTGGACTGTCAGAGCCAGGAGTATGATGTGGTCCGGGTCACACTCCATCCAAATCACAAGGTGATGTGTGTTTATGGCGGTCTTACCGATACATTCTCTAAGACATTGTTAGATGTTGTTTGTGTGTTGTTGGATGGGTGCAGGTACTAACGTGCTCTCGATTGCAATAAAAAGTGATGAATGTTTTTCATTGATGTATCGCTTAATTCAAATATCTAAGGTTGATTCAACTAACCAGCGCAACATTTTTTTTTTTTAGGACGGGAGGGGCTCACTCTTGGCGTATGTTTAATGCGTAAGAGACCTATGCGAAGGACTGGATTTGCCGATAGATCTCACCTAAAAATTAATATACACGATGAAAAACCTTACCATCATCTTAGTTAGGGTATTCTAAAAGGACGAAGAACAAGAGACTTCTTGCATAGCACATAGGTCTAGTGTCTAAAATGTTCCTGACCACGATGCGCCGATGATGTTTATCTGATCATGAGCCTCAATACCGCGCTAATATTTGTCAATTGACTAAAAAGTATGAAATTAGCTTACACGAATTATACCGTTCTTTTTCCACAGGTGCTCACTTTCAACAACGACATCGCCATTTTGACGATCTCACAGCCGGCAAAATTGTCTGATTGTGTTCGTCCGATTCAGCTTCCGATATCTCTGAGCGGGGACTTGGCCGGGCATCACGTCAGCGTGGCCGGCTGGGGCAGTTCTAGCTTCTATGGTAATTGCGGCGGCACGATGGAAAAACTGTAGTGACGGGGACTGGGGAGGCTGTACATAGTAACGGAGCTGGAGAAGCTGTAGTGAGAGGGCTGGACAAGCTGTAGTGACAGGGCTGGTTAATCTTCAGTGACAACGCTGCAAGAAGCTATAATGACGGTGCTGGAAAGCTATGTTGGCTGTGGACTGTGGACTGTGGAGGCTGTAGTGACAAGACATGGGGAAAGCTGTAGTGACAGGGTTGGTTACTGGTCAGTCTAATGGCAGGGCTGGGAAGCTTTAGTGAAAGGGCTGGTAAGTCTAATGACAGGCATGGTAAAGCTGTAATGACATGACTGGGGTATTGCTGCGGTGACAGGGCTGAGAGTGAGGAGGTTATAGTGACAGAGCTGGGGCAGCTTCATTAATGACAATAACAAGGCTTTGAAAGCACTCTTAGTCTAATGTATAATAGCTACAGTGACATTTAGCTGGTGCAGTGGCAATGGTCAGGGGCGCGGGAACTACTTTCCGACTGGGGGGGGGGGGGGGGGGGCACACCATAATAGAGATTAACCTAGGGTACCCCCAAATCTAGTTTTCTCACCGGTTTTAGGCCACTTATTTTTCACCCCTCGGCTTTTTCAACAAAAAAGAAAACATTTGCAAAAAAAGTGTGGTATTCCGTCTAAAAGCTGTGGGGGCACCGCCCCCACGGCCCCAGAGTTGGGGGGGCAGGCTGCCCCCACTGCCCCCCCCGGCTCCCGCGCCTATGGCAATGGTTGTGATTGCAATGCAAAATGATCTCATCACCGCCATTTTCTTTCAGGGGGGCGCAAGAGTCACGTGCTTTTGGAGGCCACCATTCCCACTGTTTCGGAAGACGCCTGTCGGAAAATATACGAGGCTAACATCGATCCAGATATGTTGTCTACCTACTTCCCTGGAGGATTTCTGAAGTCCACAAAGCTGTGTGCTGGCACTGAACAGGGAGACATGGACGTCTGCTCGGTAAGGATCCACTATCTTCTCTGCTGGCCTTCCCCTCCCCTCACTGAAAAATACCGCACGCGAGTGGTTGTTATGCATCTTGTCCGATAAAAGAAAGAGGTCTCTTAGTAGAAGTGTTCGATGGAAGCTAAGTTAGAATCATTCATTAGATATCAATTTTTAAATTTTCCATTCCAATTAAGTAGGTATTCGCTATCTCAAGCCCACACTTTGCGCTCTTGCTCTTTCTTGCGCATAAGGATTCATCACTGTTTGTATCTCCTATAGTTAGCCTTACGAAAGAGCAGATTGACCAGATCAGCCTGACCCCTCCCTTATTATCTCTGCAGGGTGACTCAGGCGGCCCCATGGTGCTGCAGCAGAAGGACGGCAGCTTTGTGTTGGTGGGCGTCGTCTCGCTCGGCTTATATGACTGTGGCGTGCCCGGGATACCCAGTATCTACTCTCGGGTCAGCGCCTACCTGCAGTGGATTGCCGGCGTCATACGGGGCTCCAGCAGAGCCGCAGAGCTGATCAGAGCGCTGCTCACCAAATCACAGGTGCCAACAGCTGGCAGCCCGGCCCAGAGGTATACGCCGGGAAATAACGCAATCCAATTGCCGCTGCAAAGGGCAAAGTCGGGGGATTTTCGAAGCCACGCCCAATCGGCTCGAAAACAGACTGCCGCGAAGGGTGCAGGATCAAAAGATCGAACAAGCGAATTCCGCGCCTATGTAGAGTATATTCTTGGAAAAACTGGCAACTTGCCCCACAGATCACGAGTAATATCAAGACATGGAGAAGCGGCGAGTGCGACCCGCGAATCAATTAGAGGCGCAGCATATCAATCGCCCAAGGATCATACTTATGGGAAAACAGACACCTTACAGGGATCCCGGGCCAAATCGCAAGGCGAACAGACAGTCGCTGCGGCCTCCTCATCAATAGGAGACGGCCATGGAAAAACAGGCATAACGTCCCAAGGATCCCTGGTCAAATCGCAAGGTGATACTGTTGGTGCGGCCTCTGGATCAATTGGAGACGGTTATCTATCTTCTAAAGGACATATCAATGGAAAAAGAAGCATACCGTTCCAAGGATCCCGGGTCAAATCGCAAGGTGAGACTGTTGGTACGGCCTCTGGATCAATTGGAGACGGTTATCGATCTTCTAAAGGACATATCAATGGAAAAAGAAGCATACCGTTCCAAGGATCCCGGGTCAAATCGCAAGGTGAGACTGTTGGTGCGGCCTCTGGATCAATAGGAGACGGCTTCCGATCTTCTAAGAGACATGCTAATGGAAAAATAGACGCAACAGCAGAAGGGTCCCGGCTCAAATCCCATAGAGAGGGAGCAGTCGGCGCGGCCGGTGCATCCCTAGAAACTGGTCATCTTTCTCCTAAAGATCCTGTCAATGGGATAACGTCACACGAATCGCAGGCGAAAGTGAGCAGTGGACAGGCAGGCGGTATAGCGGTAGCAGATGAAGCAGACATTCATCGATCACTTACGACGAGCTCGCAAGCTCAGCAAAAGCGATCAGGAGCCCTGGGTGCCGATCACTCCCTCGAGACAAAACACGCCAGCCGTAAGCTGTATTCACCACGTGAGGCATTGGCTGGGTCGTCGGTTATACGGGATCAAAGAATAGGACTTGTCGACAACAGGGATGTTGCTCTCGCTGAACAAGTGGGGATCGGATGGCAACAAGGTATTGCGACAAAGGAGCCTGGCAGCGTGTCACTTCGACAGAAAATTGAGACATCTATTGATGATCCTAAAGTTCAAGATAGAGAAGCCACAGTCTCTGGTCTGGCAACGGATGGCAATGCTGGTACGAGGGTGGGTGCTACTGAGCTGGATAAATCTAGCTCTGTAAAAACCTCGGTTGGTCAAGCATCCCAGAACAAACCTGCTTCAATATTACAACATAAAGTCGGTTCAACTTCACAGACCAGGGATGGTCCAAAGTTCCAGCCCAAAACAACTCCAACAGCTCAGCCTGCAGTCATTCCAACATCTCCACCCACACGCTATCCCTCACCACCGCCCTCACCCAGTCCAACAAAGCCGGCAGAGCAGAAAACCTGGCAAGAGCTGTTGAAGGACGTCATGAAAGAATAGCGTAGTAACCAGCGCTGATGCATTTTGGTTTCGGTAACCTAGAGCATACCTGACATCCTTCTCAATGCACACACAAATGGAAAGTCTTTGTTTGGAGTGAGGTGAGTGCACCTCCAACAAGCGATATGGACTGGAAAGGGCTGTTCAAAATATACGAATACAGTTTGGTTAGGTATATTCTATTGTATTGTGCTAAATAAATGTCCATACCCTGTGGTGTTATGTGGAGACCATCATGCCAAAATACATTCTACTCCGTCGAGTAAGACGTCAAAGGACGGTGCGCTAGCATTTTTTTTTTTTTGTAGTGACCATCCCATCTACGGTCGTCAAGTTAGATGTAAGTGAATCCTAATCTATAATCTAAGATTCGGAATCAGGTGAGCCCCTACGATTTGGACCAAACTTGGTCAGTGGATAGTACGTAACGTCCTGATTACGATGCACCCAAAATCTAAGCTCGGCCCGCCATATTTACGAAGTTACGGATGTTTGAATTTCAAGGTCATTCGGGAGAGCCCCTACGATTTCCGTCAAAATTTGTGTACGGACACTCTAGATGCTCCTCATTACGAATATCACAAAAGTTAAGCTCGGCCCGCCATATTTACGAAGTTACGGAGGTTTGAATTTCAAGGTCATTTGGGTGAGCCCCTGCGATTTCCGTCAAAATTGGTATACGGACATATTACATCCTCTTCATTACAAATATCATAAAAGTTAAGCTCGGCCCGCCATATTTTTGAAGTTACGGAGTCACAAAGTTACGGAATTTCAAGGTCATTCGGAGAGCCCCTCCGATTTTCGTCAAAATTTGTATGCGGACACATTATATGCTCCTCATGACGAATATCGTAAAAGCTAAGCTCGGCCCGCACTATTTCAAAAGTTACTGACGTTTGAAACTCACTGAAATTCAAACATCTCTAACTTTTGAAATAGTGCGGGCCGAGCTTAGCTTTTACGATATTCGTAATGAGGAGCATGTAATGTGTCCGCATACAAATTTTGACGAAAATCGGAGGGGCTCTCCGAATGACCTTGAAATTCCGTAACTTTGTGACCTCGTAACTTGAAAAATATGGCGGGCCGAGCTTAACTTTTATGATATTTGTAATGAGGAGGATGTAATATGTCCGTATAACAATTTTGACGGAAATCGCAGGGGCTCACCCAAATGACCTTGAAATTCAAACCTCCGTAACTTCGTAAATGTGGCGGGCCGAGCTTAAATTTTGTGATATTCGTAATGAGGAGCATCTAGAGTGTCCGTACACAAATTTTGACGGAAATCGCAGGGGCTCTCCCGAATGACCTTGAAATTCAAACATCCGTAACTTCGTAAATATGGCGGGCCGAGCTTAGATTTTGGGTGCATCGTAATCAGGACGTTACGTACTATCCACTGACCAAGTTTGGTCCAAATCGTAGGGGCTCACTTGATTCCGAATCTTAGATTATAGATTAGGATTCACTTACATCTAACTTGACGACCGTATCCCATCTTAAGCGACGTAATCGAAACCCGCGTCGTTATCGGCCGTTTCAAGAATAAAAGATTGAATATTGTCAATGTTGACGGTAATGAAAGCACATATCTAAGTTACTGGATAACCAAAGTGATCACGTTAGACATGCTTCTGTTGTTTTAAAACCAAACCAATAGTTGTAAAAGCTTGCATTCCTTTTATTTGTTAATTCGAGCAAGCGAATGTGGCAATGTCCTTCGGCACTCGGCATCGTGTCGCGTTGGCATGCCTGTTGTCTCATAACAGAGCAAGAAAATACAAACCACATGTTTGTAAGTGTTTTTATTTTAGTGTATGTTTTATGTGTGAAACATGCATTGACTACGTTTCCATGGCAAAAGATAAGCCGATTTTGAAAAAAATGGATTTGCTCCATCATAGCACTTAGGCATAATGTAAAAATGTAAATATAGGATTAGGTGCTAGCTAAAACCAAATATACGCTCATTTTTTTGCATAAGGTAAATATAGTTCGTTTTTTTCAAAAGGACGCTGGCTCAAAGTGCAATATCGATACTCTCACGTGAGTTTTGGCAGCTTCAGTGTCTGGCCAAGAATTTCTTACCGAAAAAATAATCGATTTCAAATTGCGCACGGTAAGTAGCTGGAAATTGTTTCTTAAAAATAAACATACTATGATGACGTCACTGGTGACAGCAGGCACCCAAATGTCCGTGCAATGGGACAAGTGTCAACGAATTTGGGTGAAACTTAGTTTTTCACTGTTGCCGAGCTTATAATCGAGTAAGCGGTTCCGTCCATGATAGTTGTAAGTTACATTGCAACACATGTTCGACAGTATGACGTCACCACTGTTCTCATATATGGTTCCAAAACGCACATATGGAAATTATCGGGAAGAAATCACATGTTAAAATTAGTCGACGTTCGATTTTCTCAGGTTCAGTTTTTGCTCGTTTTGGCGGCTAAAACACGTGCTTGTTCGAAAAACATACTTGGAGCCGCGTGTTTCTTTTTTTCCAACCAAAGGAAGGCGCTATACCCGAAGATGCTTCTTGGTAAACAAACCAAACAAAAACAAACATAACCTAACCTCACCTGACCTAACCTACAACCTACAAACCTACAACCTACAACCTAACCTACAACCTAACCTACAGACCTACAACCTACAAACCTACAACCTACAAACCTACAACCTAACCTACAACGCGCCAAAAAGTTCGGCGGGGATCGAACCCTAGTTATTAGATCACGAGGCGAGTGTGCTCACCACTACACCACGCAACCAGCTGGCCGGTGAGAGGTGTAAGTCACTTTTCAATGACGCAATGGGATATTCTCCGTATAGCGCCTTCCTTTGGGTGGAAAAAAGAATTACGCCTTGGCAGACTTGTAAGCGATTCAACTCTGATTGAATCGATTCTTATGAATCGCTTGAAAATGCCGACTCACTGTGATTGAGTCGGTTGAATCACCGCTTGTCACCATATGAGTTGTGATTGAATCGGTCACACATGGCAACTACAAGTGATTGAGTCGGCAACTCATGTATTCAAGTTGATTGAATCAACAAAATGATTCAATCAGCATGTACTGGAAATTGAAGCTATGACCATATTTAGTACTACATTATGTAGAAATATACCTATGTGGCATTTGCATCATAGACACACACAATGCACTGCAATATTTTTAGGTATTTTGTCAGTATTATAAATGCGCACCGCTATCATAATTGAAAAAAACATAGAAATTTTGTTTAAAGTTTTTGATCAAACTGTAAACACAAAATTATACATATATGTCAATGCATGAAGATGAAAAAATGCATGTTTTTTTCCATTGCCCTAAAATCAGTATAGTAATCAAGTTAACAATAGCAGTAAGCAGGCGCACATTGCTCAACACACATGTTTAAGATATCATGTTAATCTTTATATTTTCAATACCCTGTTTCATCAGGACATTTGTGAGCAGGCAAAGCATATTGATGAATACACAATGCATTTTCACATTATAATTTGGTAACCTTAGTTACTGATTTGATTTTGGGCTAAGGGTCACAAATTGCTTGATCTAACCCATGGTCTTCTAACCAGGGATGCGGAGCCGGAGCCGGAGCCGGAGCCGGAGCCGCCGGAGCCGGCATATTTTGCCCGGAGCCGGAGCCGGAGCCAGAGCCGTGAAACAATATAGCCCGGAGCTGGAGCCGGAGCCGGAGCCGTCAAAAAAGGGGGCGACTCCGGCTCCTTTTCTTAAGAGGAAACGATTATTTACCAAGTTCGGTTTGACAGTACAAGGCGTAAAACAATGTGGTATTCAAAATAGCCTTGTTATAGGTACAAATACAGAAGCAACGTGTACCAATCCCATCACCTTTCTTCCACCCGTATTTAATTGATCGCATAGGGGATGCACTGAGTAGAAGCCGGAGCCGGAGCCGCCGGAGCCGGATCATTTTACTCGGAGCCGGAGCCAGAGCCGGAGCCGCCATGACATTTCACCCGGAGCCGGAGCCGGAGCCGGAGCCGATTTTTTTCTCCGGAGCCGGAGCCGGAGCCGGAGCCGTCTGAAATTTCCACGGCTCCGCATCCCTGCTTCTAACTCACCTTACATTTCCCAGCAGAATCAGCGTTTACCTATCAACATAAATAATTGGAATACCTTGGCTTACGAGCATTAATGGATCTGTCACATACTGCCGTGGCTCTCATTTACACAAAAGTAAAGATACAATGGCGAAAAGTAGATACATACCCTACTGTACCCTACTAGGTATTAAAAACTCAACCACCTTCACTTCACCTCCACTATCACCCAAAAACTATTGTTTTCATAGCTGAGCAAACAATCTTGATCCGTTTGATGTTCTTCGCCTTCTAATTTTGAGGACCGCTAACAGTTTTGCATTCGATGCTAAATTTGGATTTGAGATTTGCCAGACTGCTCGCAATATTTGCCCCATGCAAACCACGCAGAATATGCTTTTATGTCGCAGCTGCGTCAATATACGCTGCAACTACCTAGTACTGGGTTCGATAATTTTTTCTTTAATAGATTGGACAGAATAAAAAACTGTTTTACACTTACACGCATACATAAATATGCTTAATTGAATCTAAAAATATAAACTATGCATTTTATATAGGTCTGCTGCTGAATAAAAGATGGCTGCCCACTTAGCGCATGCGTGTAAAGTCCTAGCTACACTATGCGTTTTCTGCGTGTTTTTTTGCGAGTTTGCGTGTTTTGCGTATATTATATAAAACTTAATAAAGCCTTTATGATAATTAAAAGTTTTTATAAAAAATATAACAAAAACGTAATATCGTTTCTTTCTAGAACCATATTACGCAAATCATGCAAACTCGCAAAAGCAAAAAACGCACGCAAAAAACGCATAGTGTAGCCAGGCCATTACTAAGCTCCGCCTCGTATGAAGTTTGGTGTCGTGGGGGGCTTGGAATTGTTTTTTGTCCTTGAAGATATGGATGGTTGAGGTAGTTTTATCATGAGAACATTCAAATTTATATTACGTAACTATTGAATAGCTTCGTAAGTGTCCATAATCCGTAGTCTTGATACCTAGTAACGAAAACCTGTAGCGCGCCGAAAATGTCTAGTCCTGTGTAATACTTTACCGGCTTTACCACTGCTTCATAAAGTATCAATCAATATTTTTTGATATGGCTGATCACCAGCTATTTTAGTTT